AGAGCAGCGCTGCGCTAAGAAGAAGCAGGGCAGCGCTAGGCGGTAGGGCGCTGCCTGCTTGCAGGGCACCAGCGGCCATAGCCGGGCCGCAAGAGGGTGCAGGGGAGGTGAGGGCGAAGGTGGTACTTCGGAGGTGAAGGGCGCTGTGTGGGTAACAAGGGAGAGTGTGGGGAAGATGACACGTACCCGGTGATGGTGGAGGTCTGCATTGGTGTTGACATCATCATTCGCTGGTAGTCAAGTTGTCTGGTTGCTGTTCATTGCTGTAGTTGTAGGATAGGCTGTAGAGTAGATAGGGTGCCTGGCGCCATTCACAAGAGAGAGCTACATTTGGGTTATGCTGTTGGTGTTGCCCTGGTGGGCATGGACATTGACTCACGATTCTTCTGTATCATTCTCAATGGGATGGTTACTCGGTTCCATGTGCTATCTGCTTTGGCTTTGAATACTTGGACTTCAGTGTGATTTTGCATTCTGGATTTCAGTGCTTCGTCCATACTCATGTTCCTTGCATCTCCGGTTCCTGACTGTTGGCGCCCTCTGCAGTTGGCGCCCATTCTCAAATCCCTCCTCTGGCACTTTCGGATTTCGATACTTGGCGCCATCCGGCATTCTGGCGCCCAGGCTCAGACCTTCGATTTTGAGTTCAGCCCCGAGGCAAATTGTACTTCTGCCCTCGAGACTCAAATTGAGTCCGGTACTTAAGACCGGACTCGAGCTGAGTTCGGGCATTCAGTTTTCAGCCCTTCAGTGCTTGTGCTTCAGTGTGACTGCTGTGACATTGTGTTCGGAATCCAAGATTGCGACTTTGCGACTTTCCTACTTTGTGTCTGCGTCCGTCGAGTCGTGTCGAGTCTGCGTCGAGTTCAGTGAGCATGTGTGTGTGCTCTCACTCTCCTTCTCTCTCCCAGTCTCGCTGCTCTGCCTCAGCCCTGTCACAAGTTGCGTGCTTCAGCTGTACCCCAATGGAATGGGCATGTGTGTGTGTGTGTGGTGGTGGGGGGGGTGGCTGTGCATGTCTGGAAGAGATGGATGCACACGCAAATGAAGATGCTCCGTTATGTGCCATAGCTGCGCCCACTGTAATAAGCATGTGTGCATTGTTGCCTCTGTGTGTGTGTGGAAAAGGAGATTGACACATGCACAAACACACATACAAACAAATGAAAGGGGTACCCCAAAAAGCCAAAGTGAACACCGCTAGGAAATGGATTTAAACCTGAGTGAGGACGCCGCCCGGCCGGGCCTGCCCGGCGGAAAACTGACCGCCCAGAAATATATATATATATATACAGGGTCACCAGCCCGTACGTACGGAGGTCCTCAGTCAGACCTCCGTACGTACGGGCGTTCGGGGTCCTGTATGGGGTCCGAACCCGACGATGTCGGCCCCCGCCAAAAAATATTTCGGGGCCTAAAAATAATAATTGTTTTCTGAATTTTTTTTTGTGAGTTCTCTATGACGTGAGGTACATGCCTGTAAATTTTCAAGTCATTTGGCTAAGCCAAATAAGAATTTAAAATTGCCAAAGATGGCGGTGTCAAAACGTGCTCGCCCACATATTTTTTCACTTTTTATTTTTTGTTTTCACTTTAGTTCGGGGTCTAAACAATTTTATTATTTTTTGAAACTCCTTTAGTGGGTTTTGTATTATGTGAAGTACACATCTTTAAATTTTCAGGGCATTTAGCTATACCAAAAAAAAATGAAAAATCGCCGAAGATGGCGGTGTCGAAAACATGCTCACGCACTCACTAAATTTAATTCTCTTTTTATTCTTATTTATTTTTATTATTAGTATTTGTTTTTCGTATTTTATTTTTATTTCAAATTTGGTAAGGAATTCGGATGTAATGCTCAGGCAAATCTTGTTTAATTTAGTTTTCTCCATAATAAAAGGGCCTTTACCCGATATAGGCCTCAGGCCTTGTAAAAATAGAGCAGCACGGGCCTTGTAAAAGCAAAGCATTGTGAAAAGGTATCTTGCCAGGGCTCAGAAACGTGAAAACAGGTCAAAGGTCAAGTTCTCTATCAACAGGCACTTCTAAATCTAAGGCAAAGGGCATTGTCAAAGGACTTACCTGTTCACCAGGAGATGTGTATGTCGTGTCTGTTCGGGTAAGGGTGTGTCTGTATGTGCAGGCAGTTTTCGTGCAATGGAAAGTGCCTGTTCAAGTAGGAAATGTGTCTGTTTGTTTAGAGTCGTGCCTGTCGGAAAGTGAAGTCAGTAGGCACAGTCCCAGTTCTGGTCTAAGTCAAGGGGTCAGTCCAGATCCAGACTTTCAAGTCCAAATCCAGGCCGAAGTGCCTCAGCAGCAGTTGAACCTCATTGGGACTGTACTGGGACACGTGCAATGCAGGGTCTGGGACAAAGGGAGAGGCTGAATTGAGCCAATGCAGACCCAGCGAGGAGTGGCCAGCACTATAAAAAGAGCTGCCTGCCTCATTCCTCGCCATATCTCCACTGGCTGCAATGCGTGGAAGTGCTGGTGCACTTGTTTGCTGAGTCAGGAGGAGCAGCGCTGGAGGAGAAGACGCGCTGGAGGGAGGAAGAAGCCTGTACGCTGGGGGTGATGCAGCCATAGCTGCCCAGCGAGTTAGCATTAGTAGTAGAGGGTTAGTATGTAGCTATGAGTAGTATCCAGAGTAGATCCTCATGAGTATTAAAGAGTGTGTATGCATCATAGGAGGAAGGGACTGAGGCTGAGAGTGTTCATTCAAGGTTTGGCTATGGAAGATACTGACCTGAGTTGGATGTGACCTGCAGAGGTGGCGCTGATGAGTAGTGACCACATTGATGACTTGGAGACTATCTGCAGGGGTAGCACTGATTCACTGGAAGTCATATTGATGAGTTGGCAAGATATTGGTGTTGCGCTGATGAGCGCTGGACTCAGGGGAACTTTGAAACACTTTGTATTCATATTTCTGATAATATAAGCTGTGAAACTCGGTCCTCATCTTTTCTACCTTTGTCTATGGTTGAGACTATTGATCACTGCGTGTGAAGATGATGCATGACATGTACACATCTGCGTGAGATGGTCCCCAGGACCCATGCAATAACATATCTTTTTTTCAGATTTTTTTAATGACTTTTTCTTTTTTTCTTTTTTTTTGGGTCCGCGTTCGGCCCGAACGGCCGAACGCATCCCCAAGGGGTCCCATACGTTCGGGCGTTCGGGTTCGGGCGTTCGGCCCGTCCCGAACGTAGGTGACCCTGTATATATACGGTTTACCGGGAAGTTCTGTTTGTGACAAAATATATATAACCAGGGTTGATCTGCGCTCGGCGAGAGGACCCGGAATCTGTAATAAAATTTTGTTTTTTTTTTTGGGGGGGGGGGGGGGGGGGGGGGGGGGGGGGGGGGGGGGGGGGGGGGGGGGGGGGGAGGGAGAGAGAGAGAGAGAGAGAGAGAGAGAGAGAGAGAGAGAGAGAGAGAGAGAGAGAGAGAGAGAGAGAACGGATCCCCTTGACACGGCTCAGACGGCCCACGCAGGCTATCTGAAGGGCCCTCGCAGCCATGTAGCGCAGATCCCCCCACCAAAATCGAGGCAGGCAGTGAATATGAAGTAGAGCACGAGCTGGCCGGATATATACTCAAGATTCAAATTCAGGTATGTGTTTCAGCAGTTATGGGTTGCTCACGTAGCTAGGCCCTGTTGGTCTCTGCACCTGACTCTTAGGGCTTGGCTGCACTACTCACGAAATGTGCAAAATTAGGATGAATCTTCTGCAGAACGTGGAATAATACGACACCATATGTTTTGTCTTTTGTGCATTTGGTGAGTAGAGGCCCTTAGGGCCACTGCACGTATTCATAAGAAAAGAAAAACGAGAAAAGAAAAGAAAAGCGAGATGCACAGACCTGAATTCGAATCCAGACTATATATTCTCTGGCCTCCCTCACGGAGTACAAGGTTGAAGTGTACCTTGGCAGGACGTCGGGTCCTAGCTAATATGCTGTATGGATCCTTCCGAAAAGAGGCTGGACACAACTAGGACGTTTTTGTTTTTCTACTTTTTTGATGCGCGCATCACTTGTGCGTGCGTGTATGCGCGTGCGGCACCCCGACGCATGAGATGTGCCGCAAGTATGATTTGAACACCTCTCTCTCTCTCTCTCTCTCTCTCTCTCACTCTCTCGCTCTCTCTCTCTCTCACACACACACACACACACAGAGGGGTTCCGAAAGGGGGTCCGAAATCCCCGACAGGTGAGTGCGCTGGGGGGGCGCGGCCCCCAACCGGGTGCCCTGCCCGGCCAGGCCGCCCGGGACCTCCCCCGGGCCCCTGCCGGTCACCCGGGCGGCCCGGATCCCAACTCAGATTTACACGCTTCTATTATGTTCCGTGTTGCTTGCTATAGAGGTAAAACTGTTTCATTGTTGGATTGTCTCAACTCGAGTGTTTCGTTGTCTGCAATAGGACTGAAGCTGCTTCAATTCTGAATCAATCCATCTGGGTGGAATAGGGGCTGTTGTGGTGAAAATTCAAAACACACACACACACACATGGTTGGTTGGGACTGAAATGCTTCATGTCATTGCTTTTTGAGTGCTTCCGCCACACCTAATGTGCTGTAGATGTGTGTGCGCATCTGTGCCTGTATAGGTATTTGTGTGTGTTTATATGTGCATGTCTGTGTGTGCATGGCAAAGAGAGAGACATTGAACTCGATCACGTTGATTTGGGCAACCCTGCACCTGACAAAGCCCCCTGTTTGTGGCCATTCCCTTCAATTGTGTGTAACGGAAGAACGAAGGTTGATTGACACAATTTGATCATCTCTCTCCATTGGCAAGGGATTAGCTCTGTTAGCAAAGTGGTGATGGCCTGACGAGTACGCATCACATGAAAGGGTGGGGGGGGAGAGAGAGAGAGAGAGAGAGAGAGAGAGAGAGAGAGAGAGTATTTGAAGTACTCTATGAATTTCTGGATGGTGTATCCTATTATTCTCACATATTGCTGGCCGATCTTGTGTATTCTGTTTCACAGGTGACCGGGTCAAGTACGTTGGCAATGGAGGGCTTTCAGGTTCCTCTTCTGCATTTAGCGGGCCAAGGTATACTATGTTCTACCGGTGTTGCACTCATACGCTATGTGGAAAGCTGACTGTGACAACTAGTAGTGCAATACTTTCCCTCTTCTTCGCTTGTGTGTTAAGCATGTTGTGATCCTAGTCGGCAGTCCTCTCCCTCCTCCCCTTTGCATGTAAGCATATTGCCACCCTTGTAAACGTTCCAGTCCTCTCCTTCGCCTGTTTACCCACACGCAAGTAAAACGTCCTGTGACCAACCTCCCCAATGCTTGGTCTCTGCCCAATGTCTTTCTAGACCAGCTTGCAGCCTCCCTCCATATTCTATAAGAGTGTAAAGCATCTTGTGACATCCTGTATGCTTCTCTTTTCTCCCTCCCCCCGACTCCGAAGAATCTACTTCTTTGCTGTTAAAGCACCTTGTCATCAGCACCCTTTCATGTAAAGCAGATTGGAACCCCCATCAGCATTCCCACTCCCACCTCCATCTTTTTGTGATTAAAGCATCATTGTATCCTGCTGCTTCCTCACCCTATGGATGCAAAACATGGTCGTTCCCTCCCGTCTGCATTGGTCTCTTGGTGACACTCGCTCCCCACTTGCAAGTGTATTTTTGTGCCCGTTGCCCATGTATGTTTTGCATATTGCATGTGTGTGTGTGTGAGTTGTCATGTTTGCTCTACACAGCTTTGAAAAAAGAAGCATGACTGTGCCAGACGGTTGGTGGCATGTGCTGCTCCGCAGGAGTGCTTTCTGCCCCTTGGTCCCTCAGTTAGCCTTTTCTCCTTCAGATTCAAGTGAACGAGCAGTTTCTGCCCCTTCACGCCTCCTCTCCATGCTGCTCTATAGAACTAAGTTTGAATCTCCCTACATTTATTTGCCACATTCCTATGACCCTTCCCTCCATTTGTAGATGGTATGGAACTGGTCACAATGGTCTCGGCATTCAGTGGTTTCGTCCTCTCAGCAAGCGTAGGCGACGCATGCCCGAGTGAACTGTTGGCAATTCAAAGTCCGAGGATCAGCAGCACCGGCGAGAAACACTGTGTAACAGAGTGTAAGACTTAAATCAGACATTGACTAACGTGACATTGAAGCAAAATGACGATTTGACACAGATCTTAGCTCACACTGAGCAGAAAGGGGTCCAAGTAAAGAAGAAACCTTTCTGTTCAATTCGTACACAGACGAGGGTGAGATAAGATATGGAGGGAGGAGGAGGAAGAAGAAGCAGAAGAAGAGGAAGCAATGTATCGTAACGCAAAATCATGCCGTCTCCTCCACCTGAGTTCCCTCTCCTCGACGTCGCTTCCGATCTATAATTGTAATGACCCGCCAAGAACACAGACTGAGAACACTGCTGATTTCTGGGATTTGCCGCTGGAATGAATGCGTTGTTGAAATTCCCGCATTCTGCTGTGATTTCCATGTCTGTGTGTGTGTGCGTGCCTGCTGGGTTGCATGCCTGTCTGCGTGCTTGTCGGTTGAGTGTGTGTGTGACCCGCAAGGGTACTTGTTGGTTGCAAGGCCCTGCAGGGCCGGTACTTACCTGTGGCCGTGA